GAATTGACTCTAAAGTCCCTCCAATCTTTCCTCAGGACACAACTGCTAACAACACAACAAACGGAGTCTGCTTATTGGACCCTTGAGGCCATGTTTAGAAGTTTGAGAGCTTGTGGTCATGGCGTTGGCTCTTTTTCCCAATATCAGAGAAGATAGCTGCACTCTTTTGGGTATCGACGCTCTCCTGACAGCGGGATAAATTAAGGCCAAGTTCCATTTCGCGGCTTTATTGATCGGAGAAATCTAGTGTTTGCATCTGGTGTTTGCAAGAAGCAGCTAGCTTATGAATGTGTGTGTGCGTGTAGATAAAAGCACTCTTATCTCCTGGAAAATGTAAATTGGTGTTGCCAGATCTTTTAACTATGTACATTTTATGTGTTTTATTCACGAAACTAATGAGAACATCCCACATCTGATCAAAGTCCCAACAAGGAGGTCAGCCATGATTTATTAGCAAAGGGAGGGAAATCCCACTTGGGCGTCTGTTGTGTTTGTGTTGAAAAGTTTAACAAAATCAGCGAAGCGGCTTTGGACTGAAGGGTTTTTATATTGTTCTATTCTCGGTGACGCGTGGAGGAAATTAGCTCTTTAGATTTAACTTTGGACGCGTAAAAGACAGAGAAAAGTCGGGTGTCTGATAGGAGGGCTGGCTCCTCACAGACTTGTAGCCCATCAAACTTCTCCTGAAGCTTTAGCTTCGGCACGTCTGGCCGTCTGACAGGAGAAATATTTCTACCTCTGTCTTCTTGTCTGTGTTTATTGGGTGGCTCGTATCACAGCCAGTAGGCTTCAGGTGTCACGCATTAAAAAGGAGGGATTCGTTTTCCTTCGTAACAGCTATTGTCGACTTTATCCAGTCTCCTCAAACCGGTGCGATTCCGTGGGAGGAGATAAATGCTTGTTGTGAGTTAAAATCCATGTGAAATGAGCCACAATTGATTTGACATGATGCTGAAGAAGGAATAATAACAGACTGTCGAGTCTGGCTGCTGGGTTGGAAGAAAACCTCCATCCACCCAACTGTCCATCAATCTATCATCCATCCATTATCCATCCATCCATTATCATTACAGCTTATTCCCTAATGGGGTCCCGGGGAGAACTGGAGCCCATCCCAGCCAGCAAAGCCTGGGAGGTGGGATTCACCGGTAGAGAGACCTAATCAAAGCTGCTGGTGTTAACTTTTCTTTCTTCTTGTCATGTTACTCTAAGATGTCTTCTTCTCTCTCTTCTGAGAGGCCCGACATCCTGCCAGACAGGGAGGAGGAGCGGAGGGGTGGAGGATGGAGGAGTGGCGGATTGAAAGATTTAAAAAGATAATTATCGCCTTTTTTAAGTCTAATTAGTTCAAAACAACCTTCACAACGAGTCCATGAACCTGTCAGTTTGGGCTTTATTAGTTTCATCAGTCTCTTAAATGGTCTTTCAACTGGAAATATGGTGAGACTATAGAGTTACAGCAGAAGAAGAGAGAGCTGGCAGCCTTTTCCCAGGTCCTCATTCACTGAATGAGTGTCAATGGATTCCCGTTATGTTCAGGATTGATGTTTTCCTCTAAAAGGCAACGATTTTTGGAGTCTTTTGAGAGTTTGACGGGAGATGTACAAGAGCTGAAGGAGACTGTGGACGGCCTCACAAAGGCAAAGAAAATGAAGATGGATTCCCCAACAGAAAGACTCAGCCTTGTTTTCCTGGTTATTAGACAGTGTTTGATCAGAGTTCCTGCTCAAGTGAAGTCAATATGAGGCGGGCCGGGAGTCAGTCAGGTTAGCAGCAGCCTGTGCAAGAGGAAGTGTGCCAACATCCCCAGAAAGAGGCAGATTTTACAGCCAGACGGCTCACACAATCATCTGGAGCACCCGGGCCGAGAGGCACTCGTGTGTGGAAATTAATACCAGTGTTAATATAATCATAACTAGTTGATTCATTATTATTTTCATTGATTTATTATTTTCATTTTTATTTATTAAATCAAAATATTATTTTTATTCTTTTAATTTGAATTGATTTAATAAAAATATTTTTTATTATTTTCATTTTATTTTATTTAATATAAATATTTGTTTATTATTTTCATTGTTTTTAATTTTTGTAATTTTTTCAATTATTTTTTTCATGATTATTGTTTTATTCTTTGACTATTATTTTGATTATTATTGGATTAATTATTTATTTTTACTCATTTTCATAATTAATGACATTAATATCCCGCTCTTCCCATCCACGCCACTGCTCATAATTCAACATTGTCAATTCAGGTTTTTGTTTCTTTTTCACTTCTCACACGATCGAATCAAAGCAAGTCTGCTGAGTTCCCTCCGGCTGGACTCTCCCTCCACCGGCTGGACTCTCCCTCCACCGGCTGGACTCTGCCTCCACCGTCTGTCGGCGTGGGAGCGATTCCAGCACAATACGGCGCTAATTGACTGGCAGCTTTTTCTCGTCCTCCCCGAACCCGCCGACGTCTCCCGATCGTGGCAGGAGAACGGGCTTTGAGCCCTCCGCCTTCGTCTCTGTCGGCTTTAATCCTCCTCATGGTTCTCCCTCCTCTGTGAAGCTGTCCACCAGACAACGGGAGCTGTTGAGCGATTCGGCACAAAAACAAAGCTGGAACTTCACACACCGTGTTTCCGGGATGCTGTAAAAGGAGCTTATGTGGAGAGGCTAGAGCCCAGAGGGACCAGATCCAGACACCCAGCGGGAGCCTGTTGGCTGCTCCAACCTGTAGACCCCCCCCATCCATAGAAGTGTGGAACGGTGGGGTATGGATTCCCATCGAGTTGTCTTGGACATCTTAGTTTGGCGTGCGTGTTGCTTTGTCCAGCAGTGGGGGAGAAAAAGTGGCGATACGAGGAAAAGGATGGACTCAGATAT